TTCATAGAATAAGCAGTTTTGAGTCAGACATAAAGTGCATACATGTGTTCTACGTGAGGCTGCTGGTAGTATGAATACCTGTCACCTGTAGATCCATTCAGCGAGCCATGAGGTACAGTTTTATATAGCTGCTTTCTGATGACCTTAGTGTACTAAGTTGAGAGTGTTTGTTTGCTTGCATTTCAGATTACTGAAATAACACTAAGTAGCATTATTTGCTGGCCCAAGTAAAGAAAAATCATGCTGTTGCCACATAAGCTTCATGAGGGAAAAGGCTTTGTAGGTCTTGGTCACAGTTGGTTTTTTTTTTTTTTTTTTTGGTACCATGTATTGAACTCAGGACCTTGCACTTACCAAGCAAGTACTTGAATTGATGAGCTAAATCCCCGACACAGTTGGTTATTGTTATTTCTATCTCTTAGAATATTTTCTGTATAAAAGGGACACCCAATATCAATTTATTGAATGAATGAAGAAATGTAAACCAGGGCTGGGGATTTAGCTCAGCGGAATAAGCACCTGCCTTGCAAGCAGGCAGTCGTGAGTTCAATCCCTGGTACCGATAAAAATAAAAAAGACCAAAAAAAAGAAATGTAAACCAAGGACAACAGATTGGAAAATTGTATAAGGTCAATTTTGTTGTAGTTTGTTTGTTTTGAGTTTCCTTTGAGAATATTGAAATTATAAATTTATTTTAAAAGTAAAGAATTGGCCTCATTATGATATTATGACGTTCTGACAAATGTCAGAAAAGACAGTTTTAAAAGATGCCCCTGCCACATTTTGTAGATCATAGTTGCTCTCTCCTAATCTCATACTGTTGTTTTGCATTTAGATGTCCCCCAAAGCCTCATGGGGACATATGTGAGGAGTTTCCAAGACAGGTGGATTAGGGTGTGTGAATGTGGATTAAGAGTATGATACTTGGACTAAGGGTGTGGATAATGGAAGCCCCACCCTGACTATGGATGGTACCAAAGAGTTGATTTGTAGCCTGGATGGAATATAAAGGGACAAAAAGAATACAGGCTTGCTGCTGCTGCTTGCTGCCTCTTGCTTGTTTTCCCATGGAGTATGTCTCCTCTCTGATGCCCCCCTGCCTTGGAGCCTCTGAAAACTGAGCTGGAATGAACCTTTCCTTCTGTGACTTGTGGTTGTCTGCTATTTTGTTTCAGCAATGAAAAAAGTAACAAGATACATATCCTTGATCAAATACAAGGTTTTATAACAGATACATAATTCTCTAACTTGCAAAGCATTCAATATATTTGAATGGTTATTGCGTACTGTGACAGACATGCACACCCCCCCCCCGCAAATATACAATACTGTGGGTTTAAGCAATAGAAATTCTTCTATTGTGCATATGAGAAGGAAAGTTCAGTTACTAAATTGTGAAGTCCAGTCCTGTCTGACTCCAAAATGTCTTTTTATTAAAAGCTCTCATTCTTTTATCTCATTTAAGGAAAAAAGTGACATCTTTAGTATACCTCATCCTTATATCTGTAAACGTGTAGCTCTTTAGTCTTTTTAAAGTGATTTGCAGTAAAGTTACAAGTTTTTTTTTCATGAAAGTGCTAGATATTTTTTATTATAACTAGTATCATGTTTATAATGTTTATAATGGTGCCATCAATTTGTTGTGAGTATAAAGAAACAGTTTTTAATGAGAGGGAGAAGGAGAGGAAGAGGGAGGGGGAGGCGGGGAGAGAGAGAGAGAGAGGGAGAGAGAGAGAGAATGAAGGCGATATCTTTGGTAGGTGTGAATTTTCATGTGTTTGGATTAGGTGAATTTTTAAGATATGACACTAAAAGTCCAAATAACAAAAGAACAAAATTGATAAATTGGAATTCATGGCAATCAAAAATGTTAATGTTTCAAATGGCAACATTAAGAAAGAAAAGACAGTCTACAGGATAGGAAAGAACATTTGCAAATCATATATCTGAGAAAGATATCTAGAATATAGAAAGAACTTACAACTCAAGTAATGATAGAACAGTTTAATTTAAAAAATGAACCAAGAATTTCAATAGATATTTCTTCAAAGGTATATAAATGATCAGTTAAACATGTGAAAATATCCTCAAAATCGTACCATCAGAGAAACACAAATTAAAATGGTAATGAAATATTATTTCATACCTAATTAAACTGGCTATAATTTAGAACAAAAACTATAATCAGTACTGTTCTGGATATGGAGAAATTGGAACTATCATACATCATTGATGGGAATGTAAAGTGGTGGAATTGCTTTAGAAAACTGACAGATCCTCAGATGACTCGGCATAAAATTAACATATGTTCTGGCAGTACAACTTCTAGATCTTACCCACAAGAAATGAGAACAAATGCCCACACAAAATTCTGTGCATGAATATTTATGGTGTCATTACTCATGCAATGAGAAGTGGAAGCAACTCAGATCTTCCCTGGCTGATGAATAGATACATCAACTGTGGTCTACTTTTGCAATGTTTATTCTTTGGCAGAAAAACAGAATTGAAATATTGATATATGCTACAATATGGATAAACCTTGAAAACATTCTAAATTAAAGTAAACAGTCACAAAAGATCACATTTTATGTGTAAGGTCCTGAGTTAAATTCCCGGTATAAAAAAAATTGCATTTATAAAATTTCATTTATATGAAATATTCTGAATAGGATATTTGGGTAGGAATGAATAGAATAAAAGAAAGGAAGTCGATAAATGGTTGCCTGTGGTTTTACATGGTGGTTGGGGATAGGAAGGGTGACTGCTGAAGGGTGCGGAGTGATGAAATTCTTTTTAAATTGTTGTCATGATTGCATAGCTATATATACTAAAAGCCACTGAATTATATCCATACTTCAAAGTTATAAGTTACGTGGTTTGTGAATTATATCTCAGTAAAGATGTTACAAGTCAAAGAAACCAGCCCTCAACACTATTTAGAAACCATGTTGACGTTTAGCTTCTCAGATGGAGTTAACTGATTTGAGCAGTTCAAGCCCATTAGGCACATGAATATAGGCTGATTTACCAGGTTTTATTTTTTTTAAACATAACTTTCAAATGACTGATGTTAACAGGAGAATGATATCTTAGCTGATGTCTACCTGATCTAATAAGAAAAAGAGTCATTTGTGTCAAATTCATAATGTTCTTTGTATCTTATATATCACTGATTTTTTTGTTTCAGGTACTTTAGAGTTCTGTTTTTAGGCGCTATACATATAAGATTATTATATTTTCTTGGGTCTAATCCTTTTATCATGTAACAATCCGATTCATCTGTTATATTACTTATCTTCAAGTCCTGTCTGTCAGATACCAATAGTGCCATTATCAGCTTTCTTTAAGGTGTGCATTTCATGTTTTCTTTATGCTTTTACTTTCATCTATGTTGTTTTTTATACTTAAAGTTCTTGTAAAGAACATAGTTGAGTCCTTGACAATTTCCCATTTCGTTGGAATGTTGAACATTTAGTGTAATTGTGTGATTAGGTCTAAACTTGCCACTTTGGAATTTGTTTTCTAAGTATGTAGTAATTCTATTGATGTGGAGTTAGCCTTGTTCTTGATCTCTGTCTTTGGCTTCCCCTGTCATGGAAGATCTCTTTATCTTGCTGTTCCTTGACTTTGCATTTGGTCTAAGACCCTGTGCTTCTCAGAGCAGTCTGGTTCAGCTCTGTGCTGCCTTTGTGAAGTGCTGTTTTGTTTTCAGCAAAGGTTATAGGTCCTTCCCGAGGACCTGCTCTGCCCTTTGTTTGGGTTGTGTCTCGGTTGTGCCTTTGGAGCAAGCTCTGTGTGAGAGAACTGGCAGGTGAGTATTGAGTGGCTCTTTGATCAGAAGCTCCTCAGATTGCAGCTCCTCTCTTCAGTAGTTATTCAGAGTTAAAAGTTTAGCTGGTTTCTTCTTTGGCAAGTTTTTACTGCATCTGACAGAGATTAAAATAGCTGTGCATCTGTCTTTGGGGAAGAGATTGTTAGTATGTGGAATTTACTACCTTTACACCTCAACTCTGATGAGTTTTTAAAGTCTGTGTTTTTGTGACTTATCCAACTTCTTGTGGTTATTCTGAAGCTTGTATTTTAAAAATTATATGCCACTGGAAGTATCCACAATTAATGTTTATTGCTTAGTAACTTGATGACTGACAGTCTTCTAATGCTGAATACCTTAGAAATCTGTCAAAGGGTAATGAGTAAACATGAATGACGATATAACTTTGGAGTTGATGTTTGTATGGCCACATGTTAATACCCATAGTCACTCTTGTGACTAGAAATACATATTCAGAAAATGATAGGCTAGAGCTGAGCTACAGTTGATGGACAAGAAACAGAGTAGTGACTATATGCGTATAGTGACTATATGCAGCTCCCTCCTGTGAACATTTGAACTGTACTGAGTTTAAAAAGGATGGAAATGTGTTCATGGTGAATATGGCATGTCAGAATCACTTTAGCAGTGTATATGATGATTTGGTCAGAGACATTAGGATAGTTTAACATATTTTCTACACTTCCCAGTAATGTCAGGGATACGCAGCCTAAAAGATAATAGCGATCAACTAGAGTGTGTCTAATTTGTGAAGAATCAGTTAAAAATGTCTTCTAAAGAATTTAGACAAAAGGCAGCATGGACATTTTCACAAATGCTTTACATTTCTGTGTAGTATTAATATACATTCAATTTAGAAAGACTTGAACAGGGCCAAGTGGAGTTAATTTCCCATAAAAGAAACAGTTTTCCATTTGGTCCCCTTGGTGACCAGTGTGTGCCACAGGAGTGAACTGGGGAGTGATGAGACAGTGGTGTAGCAAATCTGTGTCTCGTCCTTCCTGGTGCAGTTCGGTGGCCACACACCCTGAGTCCCATCCCCAGACTTCTCCGATGCTCACAAGTGGGTTCGTTGGCTGCCCAGGGGTCTCTTGTCTTTATAATGCAGTGATGGCTCTTTTTTCTCTACAGTGCTACAAAGCTAACTTTTCCCTGTTTCTTATAGTTAAACTACAACTTCAAGCCGAAGACAGAGGAGTTGTGTCTATCAAGGGAGTCTGTGCGAACCGTTACCTTGCTATGAAGGAAGACGGAAGATTATTGGCTTCCGTAAGTAACACTTTCTGGTTTTGGCAGCTATTTTTGTTTTTTTGGTACCCTTTCTTGCAGTTGTTAAATATTTAAGAGTTTTCCGTCATTTAATATTTATATTCATCCTATAAAAATAGAGAGTATTGTCTTTATTTAACAAATGCAAATACTGATGTTCTGAGGAAGTAACCAGAAAACACAGAACATGTAACATAAAATCTGAATTGGGTCTGGTAGTCTTGATTCGGAGCATGAGTTCTAAATCATTGCATTTTACTCTACAAAACTATTAAAATATAAATTTATCTGTTTTTTTTTTATGTTATACAGTGGTGTAAATACCAATAGGGATAGATATATAAAATATTGGGTATCTATAAGTTCTTCAGAATTTGATCTACAAAGGACTTGAAGAATAGAATGTGAGCACTGAAACTAGGTACAAATGCTGGCTCTGTCAATTAGTAGTTGTGTGTTCTTGGGCAAATGATTTTCAGTTAGTTCCCTTATCTGTGTAGTAGAAGCAATAATCCTATCTCACTGGGGATTTGTAAAGTCTTAATTAGATATTATATGTCAGTTTCTGACACATAATCTTGAGTATCTTCTCATGTTACTTCTAATTTAAACATCTTGAGATTAACTTGTTTTACATATTAGCACAGGTACATAGAGGATCCAGATCTGGCTAGTATTCTTTGTACTAGTGCAGGGTCCTGACAACTTTTATATTTATTACCAGAAGCAGGATTGTATGTCTGTTGAGTGTGCAGTGTAGAGGGAAAGGCACAGTGAGATACTGAGGTAGCAAAGACCAGATCCCATTTCTTTCTCCTTTGGGAGTAGACAAAATGTGCATGTGATAGTGTGTGTGTGTGTGTGTGTGTGTGTGTGTCTACATGCCAGCAGCTACTTATATCTCTCTTTATAACTTTTCCCAAAGAAGAGTTCTGACAGTATCAAGCAATTGTGATATTTTGAGCTATACAAATATTTTTTGAAAGTTTAAAAAAAATGAAGTTCCTTAGATTTCTGAGAATGCCCAAGCAGAAAAAATAGATGCTTCAACCATTCTTATTTCAGATTGATTATTGACACATATATGCTATGCTTACATTATCAATTTGTGTGATTTTTTCCAGGATAAATAAAAAGTGTGGTTCTCAATTGTTTTAGTAGTTGAGTAGGTCTTAGAATTCCCTTTAAAAATAGGTAATATTTACAGTGTACACAGTAGGCCAGATGCTATGTTAGACATCAGGCTTTTAAAACTGATAAGTCACGAGGTCTTAATGACTTTTAATGAGTCATACTCCAGGGGAGGCAGTAAGTAGGTATTTCTGATAACGTGTACAGAGTTTCATAGGTTCTTTCTATATTTTGCATGCATGTGTAATATTGGAAAGGGGCTGAAGTATTACGATGCAGGTGGTGATAAATGAAAAGAAGTGCTTGCCTAGAACTGGGGGAGGTACGGATTTTATATGAAGAGGAAGGAGCTCAGCAGGCATTCAGAGGTACAGCAGGAAGCTACCTGGTGTATTTGTAGAATTACAAGTAGCCGACTTAATACCGGAAGTAAAGTGCAAAAGAGAAAGTGTAAAGAAAGACAAAGAAGGTTGGAGAACTCGGGTTCTGCCTAATGTGGGCTTTCATACCTCATGTTTACTCTAACCAGTAGATAGCTTTGGAGAGTTTAAGATGAGACCGATGAGGTTTGAATTTGAGAAAAAGCACTCTGGCAGCCCTGTAGAGATGGATTTGAGGAGCCTAAGGCTGTGGGGGAGGACCAGCTGGCAGACCCCTGCAAAAGTTCAAGCAGGTGATGATGAGAATCTGGCAATAGTAGTGCACAGAGAACTGAAGTGATGCTGGCACTCATGGTGGATTAGATTTTAAAATTCAGGAAAAAGGAGAAAATGGCTTCCAGATTTTTGGTTTGGACAAGAAATGGGAAGAAGGAAAAAGAACTACTTTTGAGAAAAGATACTAAGTTTAAATTTAGACCTATTTAGTTTGCATTGCCAAAGGGAAGTTCAGGTAAAAGTATTCACTAAAGGATTTACTTATAAACTGGAGTTTAGAGGCAGACCTGTGTGGATATAGAGATTTGAGTGTTGTTATTGGTAGTCAGATTGGGAATGAATGAAGTTTTCTAGGTAAAATAGAGCTTTAAGATGTTGACTCTTCGGACCTTTCACTTTTACTCTGTGTCATTTTGTTCTCTACCAATCTGTTATTAGCTCAAAAGGTGATGCAATAATTTGGGAATCTGCCAAAGTAGCATTTTAAATACTTTGACTCAGCAGGTTATTTTGAATGACCTTCATATTGTAATAAAGTGAGAAAAGGTTTTCAACTGTCCTCTTTCTACTTCAGGTGGTGACCATCGCTTTGGCCTCTGAAATACGGTTGGTCTGGCTATTTTCAGACCACTAGTGAGGATGACAGAGAAAAGAAGGGAAATGTGTAAAACATTTGCTTCTCTCATAACCAACTATGGGCATTGCTATTAGTCAGATAGTCTGAAAGCTCCAGGCTTTTTTGTGTCTGTTTTAATCTGCTTCTATGACTGCTTTGAGATGGATTATTGCCCGGGGGCTTATAGGAACTGAGATGAGAAGATCCAGTCAGCTAGGCATCTTCTCAAGAGCACAGGCAGGGAAAATGCTATGTCTTACAGTGATTGTATAGTGGTATAGCCCCCCTAGTGTCCAGAGCCATAGAAACAGATGCCAGTCTACCTTAAGATGTCTATCTGAAATGACAGGGTTGCATAAAAGAAGAAATAAATTAAAGGATACTAGACCTGGAATTTGAACTCTCATCTCATTCTTAGATAATTCTCAACAATTTAGAATTCAAAAAATTCTTATCTTTTTTTATTTTTCTGGCAAACAGGCATTGATTTTCTTGAACTGTTTATGTATCATGTTTATTCCAACCAGTAGACAGCTTTGGAGAGTTTAAGATGAGACCCATGAGGTTTGAATTGAGAAAGAGCACTCTGGCAGCCCTGTAGAGATGGATTTGAGGAGGCTAAGGCTGTGGAGGAGGACCAGCTGGCAGACCACTGCAAAGTTCAAGCAGGTGATGATGAGAATCTGGCAACAATAGCAGTGCACAGAGAACTGAATTCATACTATAGAGTAAATATAGAGTAACTATAGAGTGCCTACAGTTAGCAGCATTTTCTGATTTCTTCCCTAATTAAGGAACTGTCACAAGGTTAAAGTATTTTGTGCAGTCTTACATGTGTCTGTCCTTAGATGTGTGTTAACTTTCCCTGATGTAACAGATTTCTACCAGGCTGACACAGTGAGTTAATTTAGCAATACTTGGAAATTGATAGTTTATCACAAGTTCCACAGAGACAAGGGCATAGCTGTTACACATAAATTGGTAATTTAGGATTTATCAGTCTCCTTTGAGGACTGGCATCAGCCTAGATCCAGTTCTTGCAACTACTTATGTATGTTCCAGCTCCCGTCATAGGACCTGTTCCTGCCAAGGGCACAAGTTAACTCATGACTTCCCATCCAGTTTGGGTGGCTGGCTGCCTTGTATTTTCAGTAGCAGTTCCATCTCTTTCAAATTGGTCTGACTGTCTTTGGATGAAAAACTAAACGGCCCATTTGAAAGCCAAAGATGTGCTGTTGGTATTTCAATAGGTTGTGTGTTTCCGTCTGAGTCCAATCTGCAGACATTGAGTTGTTAGCAACAGTGACTTTTGGTAAAGTCCAGCATTCTGATTAGTAGCTCTAAGTTGTGGATGAAAATGCACCTTAGACTCTGGAGAAACAGAGATTTATGAAGTTCCACTTGTCAAAGTGTCAAAAGGATCCTTCACACTCCTCCGCCCGGCCCCATTGAGAATTGCTGCTATAGCACCTCCCTGAGTTCTTCTGCATATTACCGTGGTGGTGACTCCTGCAGTGATTTTAAAACATTTAGTTCTCTCAGAAGAGTAACTCATGATTTCTGGGGGGTTTGTTAGGTTGACTATTGCCAGTTGACAGTATAAGAAAAGACTAAGTTGTGTCCCCTTTTTTCCTGCATGTGAATGATCTGAATGCAGCCAGATTAAGGATTTCTCACTATTTGAAAACACTTCTTAAGGGTCTTTACCTTCAAGGGGAGGAAATACAAAAGTTCAGACAGTATATATATTTAACTGCCAAAGCCTATATTTGGAGATTGAAGTTGAGTGATTCTTTAATATATAACAGACTCGTTACTCTGTTTCATGGCAGGATTAAATTTTGTTGCTATGAGCAACCGAAGCCCAGAACAAATATTAGGATCCATGATTTACTACAGTGTTCACAAAATTGTATATTTTAAAAAAGAAATAGCATATAGTGAAATTAATTTTAGCTTTAAGTTTAAATCACCAAACAAGCTCAGTTGTTAGCATTTGTATGAAAATATTTGGCTAGTTTTAATCTACTAAAAATTGTACATTATTGGGCTCGGGATTTAGCTCAGCGGCATAAGAGCCTGCCTTGCAAGTGTGAGGTCATGAAGTCAATTCCTGGTCCCCCTCACCACCAAAAAAAGTTGTACATTATTTTCTATATAATGTTACAGATTATGAACTAGATATCTTAGTATGTATTAGAATGTAACTTGTGTGGATCCACAATAGTGAGACTATGAATAACCTCTGAGGGCCTACAGATATAGCTCAGGGGTAAAGCAGCTGTGAAGGTCTGGATTCAATCCCCAATACCAGACAAAGAAACAAACTCTGAGAACATATTTAATTACTGTAAAATGTTCTGCCTATAGGATAACTTTCTTATTTGAAGAGCCTTAACAGTGAAATGAATTTTACAATATAGTTATGTAGGAAAATGGGTAAGTAGGGAAAATAGATTTTGAGGCTCAATTATCCAAATTAACATTCTATACTGATCAAATTTCTCAGAAACAGTAATTGATAAGGATTGTGTATCATTTTTTAAGAGTTAAAATATTAAGTGCAAAGGTTAATGTCAAATAAGATTTATTGCTGC